CTCTTCTTCTCTCTCCCTCTCTTCCTCTCTCCCTCTTTCCCTGTTCCTGTAGCCCAGGTTGGATTCGAACTCACAATCGTCCTACCTCAGCCTCCCAAGTGCTAGGGTTCCAGGCATGACCAGCCAGGCTGGGCTTGCTAGCCTACGTGAAAAGGCAGACCCTGTTCTTGGTTGTCTGCAGAACTGACAGGACAGGCTGTGTGCTGGGACTGGCGCGGGTCATGGTCTGCTGACCCTGCCTCAGCGTGTGGGTGAGCCCCGGGCGCCAGCCTGTGCTGTGGCATCGTTATGTATTTCTGGTTGTTTGCCTTTGAAAGGCGGTGGCGCTTGGAGACTTGACATGTACAGTTGTTGTTTTGTTTAGTCATTGACACAACGTGCAGTGTTTGTTAAGCAGCCACTCCGTTCGCAGCAGACAGGGCCATCTGTGGATGGTGCCGGTAGCCAGGATGTTAGTGAGGTCCCATGCTTTGAGAGAGTGACTGGGCAGGAAGCTGCAGAGAGAAGTTGGGCATTGGGGGCACAACACAGAGTACCCACCAGCAGCCCAATCAGGGACTGCGGCCCCCTGCAGCCCCCACTAGCCCTGGGCCGGGCTCTGCCTTTCCCCTCTCCAGCCACAGTCCCAGCCAGCTGTGGGAACACTCCCGCAGAACTTCAAGCAAAATCAGCGCTCCGTGTGCTGGCCGTGCCCAGCCAGGGGACAGGGGAAGGCCTGATTGTGGCTGAAAGTTTGAGTCCCAGAAATGGACCCTGAAACAAGGATGTATTGCTCTGTGTGTGTGTGTGTGTGTATGTGCGCACGCATACGAATGTGTGTGCACGTGCTTGTGCGCGTGCACGTGTGTGCATGTGTGCCAATACAGGTGCTTGGATTTGGGACCTGGGCCCTGGCTCAGCTTTTTTACTCAAGGCTGACACTCTACCACTTGAGTCACAGCTCCAATTCTGCCCTTTTGCTGGTTAATTGGGGGTAAGTGTTACAGACTTTCTGGCCTAGGCTGGCTGGCTTGGAACCTCGATCCTCAGATCTCAGCCTCGGGAGGAGGCAGGATTGCCGGTGTGAGCCAGGGGCCCCTGTGTTTGTTGCTGAGCCTGGTTACCACGTGTACCCCCAAGATGCCGGTGAGGGTCCCCAGGGGCCTCCCTAAAGGGGCTTTTCTAGTTGGCGGTGACATCGGATTGCCCTTCGTGTTCGGCGTCTGACCCACCCCGGGGCGGCCACACTGCACAGGTGGTGACAGGAAGTTCCGGACAAACCTGGCACCAGAGGCCAGCTTTCCTGGCATCGGCTATCCAGAGCACAGTGACCACGACAAGCCTTTGACCAGCCCAGGCAGAGACCGGGAGCTGCCCAGAGCCAGAGGCAAGACCAGAGCCCAGCCCTGAGGTGTGGGGGGCCGGGCAGCCATGTCACATATTTCTGAATGATCCCAAAGTCATGGCTTTCAGATCCCATTTGCGAAAGGCCAAACCTGAGGATAAGAAGCCAGGTGGTCTGCCCGGGGCACTGGGGCTGCCCGAGCCATCAGAAGGGGCAGGTCCTGCACCTCGTTCTCCCTGGGAGATTGCACCCCAACCCGCTCTGTCACCCACCCTGCCCCTCCCTCCTCCACCTTTGCCCTAGTCTTGCACTTGGGCCTGGCCCAGCCATCCTCCACTGAGTCGCTTGTGTACCAGGCCGCCAGGCCGGGTGAACAGGCCTGGGTCTGGGAATGGAGGGCAGAGGGACCTCCTGGAGCCACCAACCGCCCCCCTGCCCAAGGCATCTGCCTCCAGGGGTGTGTGTTTGCAGCAGGGGACGCCGGGAGCCCGCACACTCGCCAGGAGGAAGGGGGAGGGAGGGAGGGAAAGAGGGTGGGAGGGAGGGAGGGAGGGAGGGCAGGCTGGCGTCCGATTCAGTTCGTGGCAGAAAAGCACAGGGAACAAAGCGCGCACAGCTGTGTGCCCGCCACAGAAAGGACAATCACCGGCATTTTGTCCCAATTGGTCCAACTCGCTCCCTTTTTCATGTAAAATATAGAAACATTACCAATAATATTGAAGTCCTCTTTGTGTCCTGAGGTGGGGCGGGCACACACTGACTGTCCTTGCTGTCCTAATGAAATGAAGCTTCTAGAAGTGCCAGCGACCAGTGCTAGCCCCAGATTTTCTCTCGGCAGCACTGGCTCCTCTGGATGCCAGACAAGGGTGGCGCTTGCCACAGCAGTCTCTGACCCTCCATGACAGGGAATGGCCAGGCATAGTGACACAGGCCAACGCAGAGGAGGCTGAAGCAGGAGGCCGGAGACTCAAGGCAAACCTGGGCAACATGGCCTGTCTCAAAACAAACACACAACCAAGGGCTGGGAAGGTGGCTCAGTGGTAGAGCGCTTGCCTGGCATGCATGAGGCCCTGGGTTCGATTCCTCAGCACCACATAAGCAGAAAAAGCTGGGAAGCCCAGAGTTCAGGACCCACGACCAACACACACACACAAACCAAAAAAAAAAAAAAAAAAACCCACAATCTAAACAACAACAACAGTCTCCTGAATAGATACTTAACTCTCTCAGGCACTGGTGGCTCACACCTATAATCCTAGATACTCAGGAGCCTGAGATCTGAGGATTGAGGTTCAAAGCCAGCTAGGGTAGGAAAGTCCATGAAACTCTTATCTCCAATAAACCACCAGAAAACTGGAAGTGGTGCTGTGGCTCAAATGATAGAACACTCGCCTTGAACTGAAGAACTCAGGGGACAGCGCCCAGGCCCAGAGTTCAAGCCCCATGACTGACAGAAAGAAAAAAAAAAGATTCTTTACTCTCTACAGGGGAGAAAAAAGAATTGTGGGATTTCAAATGCATATAAAAATAAAATGTCTGGTGTAATGTTCCAAATTTAGGATGGGGAGAAATAGAGAAGAATGTTGTGTAAGTCTCTACCTTTATTCATCAAGTAATACAATTTTATCTGCAAGGGGCATGTGATGAGTTAAAGGTATCTGCAGTAACCCCTAAGCTTGTGGGTGCACGTGCGCACGCGCACACACACACACACACACACACACACACACACAAGCACAGTGGTAAGCCAATCCAAGGGCAATATTATTCCATGCAGATGAAACCACACAGAGATGGGCTGAATAGACAGTGAGCACCACGGTAATAAATGCAAACTCAATCACCGTAAATACGAACTATCTGAACTTATCAATTACAAAGCAGAGATGATCAGAATAGATGAAGATTTAGTTAGCCAGGACAGGCTGGAAGCCGGAAGGCTGGTGTGAGCACACAGGCAGAGGTGCGTGAGCAGCAGGGAATACAGAAAGAGTATGTGACGATACGGTGAATCAGAAGAACTAGAAGGTGCGGGACTAAACCAGACTAAGTTGACAAGGCAAGAGAGCACCGGCTGGAGGAAAGCGGAGGAGTTTCATAATGATCGAGACATCCGCCATTAACAGTGGGCGATGATGAATGTGTTTCTTAAAGGGTTTGATTCACTGGCACAGGAGTGAGCTCTTCCCTCCGGGGACGGACTAGTGACCGGCCCTGCAGGGGGGTTACAAGGCGAGACTCCCCTGAGTGTTCCCTCCATTCATCCTACCCTCCCTGCCACAGCCGGCCCTAGCCAGCACTGTGGTCTCAGAGAACCTTCTCTCCTTACAAAGGAACCAGACTCTGACAGTTTGTTACAGAAACAGAAAACAGACCAAGATAATCATCTCCGTAGACATTTCTAAGAAATTTACCAAAAAATAAAAATCTACTAGAATTCATACTGGAAAATAGCAAGATTGTAACATGTAAGTTGAATTGATTTCTGGATACTGTATCAGGAATGGTGGAAAATAGCAAAGTTGTAACATGTAAATTGAGTTGATTTCTGGATACTGTATCAGGAATGGTTGATCAGAAAGAATGTCTTTTTTAGGAAGTGTAGCTGTGGCTCCAAGTAGTAGAGCACTAGCCCTGAATAAAAGAGCTCAGGGACCGTACCCAGGCCCTAAGTTCAAGCCCCACAACCGCCCACCCCCAAAGAATGTTTTTTTAGAGTTTGAACGGCAGAGCCTTGAAATTGTGTTAAGCATGTGCTCTACCACTTGAACCATGCCCCTAGCCCTTTTTGCTTTACCTATTTTTTCACATAAGGCCTTTTTTTCATCTAGGACCAGCCTCAAACCAAGAGCCTCCTACATATGCTTCTCACATGTAGTGATGACAGGCACATGCCATCACGCCTGACTTGTTTTGTTGAGATGGGGTCTTGCTCACATTTTACCCAGATTCGCCTCAAACTGTAGTCCTCTTAATTTCTGCCTTCCAAGATAGTTGGGATTATAAGTGGGAGTCACGGTGCCTGGCCCAGGCAGGGGGAGGGAAGAGGGAGGGCGAGGGGAGGGGGTAGGGAGGGAGGGGAGTCCTATCTACCACAAACAACAGAAGAAAAATTGAATACTCTATATATTTATTAGCCATTTCTATTTATTCCTCTGAGAAGTGTCTGTTCAACTCATTTAATTAATTGGATCATTTGCTCTTTTGCTGTTCAGTGTTTTGTGGGTTTGGGGGAATTTTTTAGCTCTTTATATATTCCAGCTATGAATCCTCTGTCCACTAGGTGAAGATTTCCTACCATTTCTGCGAGCTGTTTCTTGGTTCTGGTAATTTGTTCCTTTTGTATGTAGAAACACTTTCGGTTGATGCCATTTTATTTGTCAGTTGTTGCTCTTATTTGCTGGGCAATTGAAGTCCTACTCAAAAACAACTAGCCGTGCCTGTGTCTCCTGGTTTTCCCTGTAAGGTTCAAGAGTTCAGGTCTTACATTAAGACCTTCTGTAGCTTTGGAGCTCATTTTTGTACTGGGTGAGAGATTGCATACCCAGTTTTCCCCGCACCATGTGTTGAAGAGGCCAATACATATAAATGGGTAATAAGGAAATTTCCAACATTCTTAGCCATAAAGGAGGTGCAAATCAAAACTGCATTAAGATTCCACCTCAGGCCAGTCAGAATGGCCACTATGAAACGGACAGTGGAAATGCTGCAGAGGATGTGGGGAAGGAACCCGCCCGTGCGCTGGCGTGGCGTGTGCTGGGGCCCGCAACGGAACCGGCACAGGCGCCTCGGCACGCTCGGAAGAGACCTACTCCATGACCCACAACACAGGTACCCGCGCTGCAGCACTGTTCACAGCAGCCCACCTCGGAACCAGCTGCTGCCCAGCGCTGACCGGATGGAGGAAATACTGTATGCATGTGTACACAGAAGAGGACTCAGCCACACATGAAAATGAACATCATCAGGAAAATGAGTGAGCAAGATAAGTCGAGCTCAAAAAGCCAAATACCACATTTTGTCATTCATGTATGACACCTAGACCTAAGATAATGATGATGATGATGATGGTGATGGTGGTGGTGGTGGTGATGGTAATGGTGGTGGTGATAATAAAAAGACATAAATACATGAAAAAGGAGATCTGGGGGTGAGGGAGAGGGAGAAGAGGAAGGAAGTTGGGTTGGGAAGTGATGAAGAGGACTGCAGTACATTACACATATGAAGATGGTGTCATGCTGCCAAACACTGCCTGGCTGGCAGGTGCGGGCCGGGAGGGGAACGCAGAGGAGGACCACCTGCTCCACGCAGACTCAGTACATGTGTGGAGTGACCACCATGGAACCTTCTCATACCCTTAACGTCTGCTCATCTCCAAAAAAGGCAAAAGGAAAGATTAATGCAATCGCCTCTATCAAAATTCACCTCTCTCCTTAGAAGACACTTTTAAGCAAACTGAAGAGCAAAACACACACACACACACACACACACACACACACACACACACACCACATACAAAAAACAAACCCTGGGGAAAAAATATTTGAAAACCATAAATCTAGAGATTCACGTTTACATACAGAGAATGCACGCACTGAACAAGAACCAACTAGCCCAATTGAAAACAAGCAAGAAACCCACCAGATGCTTCACTAAGTGCATTCTTCACTTCCGCCGAGATTTCAAAACCGACCATTACAGCAGCATGGCTAGATTTAAGAAGGCTGACCACACTAAGTGTGGACAGGGAGTGCGGTGACGCGCATCTCACGCATCCCGCATAGGAATGTAATACGCTTCCCTCCCTTGAAGACAGTCACACACAAAGTATTTACCTCAGAAAAATTAAACCAGAACAATGCACAAAGCCCTGTGCTCACAGATTAAGCAGCTCTGTTTCTCATAGCCAGGAATTCAAAAAAATAAAAACCAACCAAAACCCTTTAATAGGTGCAAGAAATGGCAGCCTTTTCCCACATGGAATAGTAGTCAACAATGACCACCACGCACGGCTGAGGCAGACGGCCTCGGCTCAACAATGACCACCACGCACGGCCGAGGCGGACGGCCTCGGCTCAACAATGACCACCACGCACGGCTGAGGCGGACGGCCTCGGCTCAACAATGACCACCACGCACGGCTGAGGCGGACGGCCTCGGCTCATCTCAGAAGCCAGCCCTTGCTGCAGAAGAGCATGCACAGCACGGCTGCACTTGTAGAAAACACTAGAAAATGCAAACCCATGTCAAATGATGGAGGCTGATCAGCAGTCGCCTGAGGATGGGGGTAAGAGGAGGGGTGTTTGCGGAGAGTTCCAGAAAATGCCTGCGATTGATGCGTGTATTTGTTACCTTGATTGTGGTGATGGCTTCGCTGTGTCTACACATGTCAAAACGCGTCAGATCACGCACCGTGGATATGAGCCATGCGCTCTTCAGTCTATTCTGCCTCAATAAAGCTATAAACACACACACACACACACACACACACACACACACACACACACACACACGGACCAAGTCCCTTTTACTCACTAGGACTGAATCCCCTCCTGATCACCAGCCACCTCCACGAACAGGACAGAGGTCCCGTCAGCAGGGCTGGGCCAGCCTGGATTGGGGACACTGACTCCGTCCTGTGAGACCAGCCTCAGGCTGAGTTCTAATGGCCAGCCAGAGCGAGGGGCCGCCTGCCAGCCTCACCTGCCACTCAGGCTCCACTTGTCACGGCCTCCAAGTGTCCCTGGCTTCTGCCTCTGATTGAGTCCCATCTCAGCGCGCGGGAGGGGGGCAGGGGGGCGAGGGTGTCACAGTCCCAGGAGGAGCCGGTGCAGGCCGTGGGCACACCAGGAGGCTGGCACATGGGAAGGTGTTCAAGGCAAGGAGGAGGGCTTCCCAGGACACTTGGAGACAGTAATCCTTGGCTGCCTGAATTCATAATAGCAGCACCAATGCAGGGTCAAACAGGTAATGGCCGGCCGGGTGTCTCATCCATGGCGCTGGGAAGCTGGTGATTCGGCTGAGTCTGGTGAGAGTCGCTACCATGGGACCGTGCCCAAATAGAATTCTATCAGAACCTCCAGTACTTTTTTTTTTTTTTTTGTCCGCCCTGAGGTTTGAACTCAGGGCCTGAGCACTGTTCCTCAGCTCTTCAGCTAAAGTCAAGTGCTCTACCACTTGAGCCACAGCACCACTTCCAGTTTTCTGGTGAGTCATTGGAGATAAGAGTCTCATGGACTTTTCTGTCTGCTTGGCTTGAACCATGATCCTCAGATCTCAGCTTCCTGAGTAGCTAGGATTACAGGTGTGAGCCACCGGCGCCCGGCCTTACTTAAAAAAAAAAAAAATTAGGGGTGACATAAGCAACTCCATTTTGGTCTGACAGTGTTCACAGTCTGAAACCGTGGCCCCATGCCACAGCTCGGAACACAGGCTCCCCCCCACCTCGCCACTCCCATGCTCTCTGCCCTCAGGGGTCTCTCTGACCCCCAAGAGATGCTTGTGTGGCCAGAGAGAAGCTGGTAATGAGGGCTGTGAGGGGGGCACATATCCACACAGCCCCGAAGCCCCCAGCCCCTCCCACACTCGGTTTCCTCGAGTGCTGGACCCTCACTGCCCCCAGCACAACTTGTTGCTTTGAACCATCAAACGTTCTTTATTCTAGCCAGGCGCTGGGGCTCACGCCTGTAATCCTAGCTACTCAGGAAGCCGAGATCTGAGGATCATGGTTCAAAGCCAGCTTGGGCAGCAAAGTCCCTGAGACTCTTATCTCCAATAAACCACCTGAAAACTGGAACTGGTGCTGTGGCTCAAGTGGTAGAGTGCTCGCTTGAACTAAAGAGCTGAGGGGCCGCGCCAGGCCCAGCGTGCAAGCCCACGACCTACAACAAAAACAACAAAAGTTCTTTATTCTGAGCCTGTGGTAGATAGCTCATTCTGTCTTCCCAGGCCTGTCCTATTTTCAAACAGGAAATCCCAAGTTCCAGGAACATAGGTCTCAGTCTGCCCTGTAAATAGCACCCTGGACACCCAGTGTCCTGCAAGTAGGGGTGCCTGATTGTGACCCCCGAGTCTGCACTGGCCCAAGGCCTACAGTCCTGTGCCCTCCGCTGCTCTCCTGCCAGGACCTTTGCCCGGCTGCTTCAGCCGGTGGATGGTGGGGTGAGGCCAGGGGGAGACAGATGGACTTGGTGGCAGGTGGGCTTTGGCTCAGATTTCAACCTCTTTACTCCCCGGGAGCTCAGGCACCCCACCAGTCGGCCTCAGCACCCTATCTTAGGCAGACTGAACCCCCCGGGGCTGGGAATCAGCCACGAAGGGTTTCACATGCACCTTGGTTTGTGGGAGCCGCTCCGTGGATACATGACGTCAGAGGATGGTGACTAGGGCAGAGCTCAGAGGACAGTGAACACGGATGGGAAGAAGATGAACTCTGTCGCCCACGGGCCCCGGAGGGCCCTGGCGGCTGGGCATGGGTCCACCAGCTCGGCCAGCGTGCCTGCCTTCCCCCTCCAGGGCCATGCTGGCGCAGCACGAGCCCTGGCCTGGGGCAGACTTGGCGACTGGCTGCAGCCACCATGGGGTGAGCCGACTGTTCCGTCTCTCACGGGCACGGGAACTGGCTGGAACGCAGAGGGCTTGGTAGAAATCATTTTCCTGCCCAGTGGAGTGAGGAAAATTGGTGGCCGCCTCGGCTGCCCTGTTTGCAACAGGGGCGGCCTTGCTCGGGTCCTGCTGCCACCTTGCGTCCCTGCAAGGGGCTCCGAGCCTAGCTCCCAGGCTTCACCCAGCACCGAGCTTTTCTGCACAGGGACTGGCTGGAGCGTGCCTGTCCCACCCAGGGCTTGCAGTCGTGGGAGGTCAGGACACTGTCCCTGAGAGGACAGGGGCTTGCCCAGGCCACTTGTGACTGGACAGGAGCAGTGCAGAGGCTCCCCAGGGCTCCAGGTCTGACCAGTGGTGGCCCTGTGGATGGACCTGTGCACAGGATGTCCCAGCCACAGGGGCACCGTCTTATTGGGGGAAGATAGATTGGCAAGGTCAGGTGTCCCTGAAGGCCAGGAAATGGGGTGTGCCTCTCGACCCCCGCCATTGCGGGGTCTGTCCTTAGCCTCTTGGTTTAGAATGTCATCTGTGTTTTGTGGGTTTTTTTTCTTCTGTTTTTGTTTCTTTGACAGTTGTGGGGCTGGAACTGAGGGCCTGGGCACTGGCCCTGAGCTTTTACACCCAAGGGTAGAGCTCTATGGCTTTAAGCCACAGCTCCACTCAGGGTTTTCTGGTGAGTCATTGGAGCTAAGAGACTCCCAGATTTCCCTGACCGAGCTGGCTTTAAACCACGATCCTCAGATCTCAGCCTCCTGAGTAGCTAGAATGACAGGCATGAGCCACCAGTGCCCAGATCATCTCCTGCTTTGAGCAAAGTAAAAATCAGGTGTAATGGGCCATAGGTCTGGGGGGATGGGGGCAGAGGGGCCGCCTGGAAGGTGCCTCAGGACCCCCAGCAGGTCCTGGGAGCTTTGGGTGCCTGTCAGGGACCGGGCAGCAGGAGGGAGCTGTGGCAGACTCCTGAGCATGAGAGATCTCTAGGATGAGAAAGACATTGGGACCCAGCCCAGTAGCGGACATCCTGCAGGGCTCCCAAGAGGCAGAGGGAAGCATCTGGGTGGGGAAGGTGGACCCATGGACCGGCCTGGCTCTGGGCATCCTCAGCATCCACGTATGCTGCTCAGCCCAGACAGACCTCCTCTGTGGACTCTTCCACTCAGGGAAGCACCAGGCAAGCACAGCTGGTGTTAGCCTGGCCTGTGCTCACGCCAGGCCACAGGAACTGCTTTCTTGCTGTGTTCCCAGTGCCTCTTCCTCTTGGAGGACTGGGCTCCATCTTCTTGCCCAGTGCCAGGCTCCACCTCTACCTATTTGCTGTGGCTCCCTGGAGCCCTGCCCACAGGTGCCAGCCATGTGCCCTCTGGACATCACCTGTAGCCGAGTGCAGGAGGCCTCAGAAAGGGGAGCGGGCAGATGGAGGGTGCGGACGCTCTCCAATGCTGGGAACCCTGTCCTGCCCAATACAGCCCCAGGGTAGGAGTGAAGAGGGACGGACAGGGACTCCCGCAGGACACCTGCTGTGTGCCCCAGCCCAGCTGCTCCAGCCTCAGAGCCACCCCCAACTCCCCCCAACATGGGGACAGGCTCCTCTGCACACTTGTCCTCGTGGGCCTGGGTCTTGCGGGAAGCAAGGCTTGGGTGAAGGGGACCACTGAACCAGCCCATGCTCTAATCCTGACTCGGCTGTAGGTGCAGCCCAAGTGGTAGCACACCTGCCTAGCAAGTGTGAAGTCCTGAGTTCAAACCCCAGGACTGTCAAAAGTCTGAAAAAAGAAAATCGTGGCTCAGCCCGTGCTTACTGAGCGGCCTACAGGAAGGGTCTCTGCCCCCCCTCACCCCCCAAAGCCTCTGCAAAAGGGAGGTAAGGGTCCCCTTCCCTACGGGCTCAGGGCAAAGATGCATGAGCCCCAGTAGGCACCTGGCTCTCTCCTCCTTGCCACCATGGGTGGGCAGGCTCGGGGCACAGGAAGGGTGTAAGGGAAGGGCCAGGCAGCCCCACCAGGGTGTGTGAGCTGCCTGCGCCAGGCGGAGCCGCCCCCACCGCCCCGCCCCCGCTCCCAGCCATCTGCACGCTGGCAGCAGAGGAGGCAGAGAGGGTGGCACACATTCTGCTTCCATCCAAGCAGGGCCAGTCGGTCTCGGAGGAAGGACTACAGCCCGGGGGGGGGGGGGAGGAAATGTGGGCAGGGCCTTTGCATGGAGACGCTGTCCCCTCGGGCCTGGGAAGGGCCAGGGACATTGGGGCTGGCAGGTAGGCACATCCACCCCTGTGAGAAACCCAAATGAGGGTGGGCATGGAGCCTGCCCTTGCCCGGTGGGGAAAGCCAGGCCAGAGCCGGGCCCCTGGGGCAGACCAGTCCACTGCAAGTTGGGGCCGAGCCTGGACAAGGTTCCGGCACCCAGACAGCTCAGGGTGCACCTGTCCCAGGTCTGCCTTGTAGGTCCCCGGGGCCCGTCGGGGAGAAACGACATGGAGCCTGGCGCTGAATGGCTTCCTTTGGCTGCAGGTTCTCTCTTCCCTCGCCTTCAGCACCTCTCCTCAGCACTGTCACGGTGCCTGAATGCACCAGCCTACCCCCTCATTAGACGGGAGAGGAGAGCTGCAAAGGACACGGCACACAGAATGCCAGATGGATGGGGGTGACGGCCACACGCGTGTGGACGAGCTCCCTGCCCGGAACCCTGTGCTTCAAGGTGATGGAAATGGTGCCTAGTCTTGTGGCAGGTTGGGTTTTTTTGTTTGTTTTCGTTTTCCCGCTGTTGTTTATGTCCATGCATGATGACAGCCTCTTCCGATCCGCCAGGCACCACTTGGAAAGGAGAGGAACAGGTGTGATCTGTAACCCCCCCCCATGTCCTGCAGGCAGGTGAAAGGATGCAGACGCCGCTCTGTGACCTGTCCTTGCAACTCTGGTTCTTTTCTGACTCCCAGTGCCTATCCTTGGGGTCACTGTTGGCGTGCCGCTGGACTGGCCACCAGGGTGGAAGACGTAGCCAGCTCTCAGGCCTTCCCCCTTTCCAGAGCTCCTAGGGAAGAACGCGCACGCACACACAAATACACAAGATCAGACTGGGTGGAAGGGCTGGGACGGCCCACACCTTCTGGCAATTTCTCCAGTAAACTGTGAGCTCCTTGAGGGCAGGCATGTGGTTCCTTCGCTGCCAAAATATCCCTAGGATCTGGCACAGCGCTGGCTGGCGCCCAGCAGCACCCGGCGAGACGAGACCGATAAGCAGGTGGACGGGTTAGCACGGGGGTCCCCGGCTTTTGGGGTCCACTCGCCCTCCCCCAGGTTCCCTATCTCCGCGAGCGCCCTGCCCTCATTCATTCCTTCATTCATTCATGCTGCCATTCCCGCACGTGGGGCTCACTCATTCAC